TAAAACATGATGTTGTTCGGGCCAATCCAGGGTTATCTAGGATCCTCTCTTATATGACCCGAACAATAGTATGTTTTATCCGTACAATAAGAGTGTATCGAAATTGGGGTATCCTATCGTTGAGCACGCCCATATATATATGATAGTTTCAATTCAACTCATGTAGATAATTAGACAGAATAAACGAAGTAATCAATAAGCCAGCTTTCACAGTACGAATCGGTCATTAGACGAGTTTATAACAAAAGAAGTTGATCATTAAATTCCACTCATATAAAAAAAACTGATTACTAGTTGGTTGATTCGACTCTTACGATTCATTGAGCTGCGAGTAATCACACAACTATTTAGGAACCAAAAAAAAGAAAAAATAGATAAAACTAGAAAATTCTTATTCTTATTATTTTCAGTAGGTTCTACTCGGTACCTTTAGATGTATCTCATATTGAATATGTACATTTCTTACTATCAAACATGTGTTCTTTATCTCAAGTAGTGCAGATTTCGCGAAACCAGCAATTGATTTTGTGATTTTTTTTTCTATTCTCATACGAATTATTGATTAAACTTAGACTTTTAATTAGTGAGTTTTTCTAATATTGATATTATCAATTGAACTTTTGTTACTTTTTGTTGATGTGATAGTGTCAATGGCAAATAACCATGATATTCAGATGAATATTGTTTTGATCTACATTTTTGATTTTGTCTAATTTTAGTTGCAGATAAATGTCGTATTTTTAAACTATTCTGAGTTCTTGATACTGATATTTTAGGTTTTGATGATGTTAAAAATAAATATGTAGCCATGTTATTCATATATTTAATTGTTAAATTAACTTGATCATCTGATATATTTCGTAATTTTGTAAAAACTTGATCATGAGTTAAATCAGATATATCTTCATTATTAATATTTAAAATAACATCACCAATATTTAATAAATGAACATTGGCATCAGCAACACGTGAAATAAGAACAGGAAAACCTGTGAAGAAAGACGTTTTTTTTTTTTTTTATCAGAAAAAAGATGAAAGAGTTTTTTTTATTTTGTTCTAATATGATTCATTTACCAGTATCACAACCACCTTTAATCGAAAAACCAAATGAATGTGTAATTGGATGTCTCTCAATAGTAACATTTCTCGGTATTGTAACATCTTTATTATTCAATGATGATATATGTATTGTATTTTGAGGTCGAATAATCAATGATTCCGATGTTAATTGAAGTAAAACAAGATAAGGTTTTGAACGACCATCACTTAATGTTACTTGATCTTCGAAAATTATTTCATTTGGATGTGATCGTTGAAGATCATGCATTAGAATTTTATTCTATGACAATAAAGTATATGTTTATTATACGAAGTTGATACATTGTACTATTTCTATATTAATATACTTACTCAGAATAAATCAGATAACAATATTAATATCAACAGAAATTCATGTCATCACCATCAAAGGTTGTTCAAATATTGTATCTGAAAAACTAAGATTTCTGTCAATATACAATATTGTTGATGTAATTGAATTAAGCCATCTTCAAGATTAGTAAAAAGAAAAAAAACGAGAGAAAGAAAAAGTATATTGATGGCAAGTGATGAAAGAACGAGAAAAACCGTTTTTTCCTACAGAAGGATTTATGCCATGAACTCTTTGTTTTTCATTTCTTTTGCATGTCATATGAACTGATAATAATCAGTTTGTTTCTAAATATATTGTACCAAAAATAAAGAAGAAAAACAACCTCGTTGATAGACATATTTCAAAATTAAGTACTACATGATGACCATTGAATGGTTGCTGTAAGTTTGTTTTTTTTTTGTTTGTTGTAGATGAATATATTATTGATAATAATCTCTAACAGTTCGAAAAAAAAAACCAAACGAACACTAACGATTACTCTTTGTCGACTCATTCTTTTTTTTTTTTACTTATTATCATCATTGTATTCAGTTCGATGGTGCAAATGAAATTAACCACCAGATGAATGCTTGCATGATCCACTATATATATATGTATATTTGCCATCAAGCAAGTTTTAACATGTTCGATAGATTAAAAAAAAATCACTAAATGGATACTGGACATATATATATGAATATGTGAAGATTATAACAATTGTAATAAATAAATCATCTTTTTATTAATTGTTTTTTTTTATCAGATGTAAATTTATTAATATAATTAATTAACAAAATATTTATGTTTATTTCAAATACAAACAAAAAAAAAGAAAAAAAAAACACTTTTTTTCAACCTCTAAATATTGATTTGTGTGTTATATTCTATCGATTTATAAATATATATATGCACACAGAAAACAAAAAAACATTCACAGGTAAAAAAACCGGTTTGATATTTAAACAAAAAAAAAAGAAAATTATTCAAAGTAAGAAAAATTTGTTTGTTTGGTTTTTTTATTTTCGTTGATTAAAATTGCATATTTTTTAAATCATCATTATTCTGATTTATTTGATATTGTTCATTCATAAAATCATGTATTAATATCGATTGTCGTTTTGTTCTATTTGATCGATTATAACTAAAATCATTTTTTAATAATTGAACAAGTTGATAAAATGTTGGTCTTTGTTTTTCATCCCATTCCCAACATTTAAGTATCATTTCATATATATATGATGAACAAGATGATGGTTTTTCTAAACGTTTTCCTTGTTTTAAAAAATAATATACATCACCACCACTCATATCACCTTAGATTTCAAAAAACAAAAAAGATCGATTTTAATGTAGATTACAACAAAAAAGAACTAACCATAAGGTGTTTCTCCATAAGAAAACATTTCCCATAAAGTTACACCAAAAGACCAAACATCAGATTTTGAAGTAAATTTTCCAAAATTTATTGCTTCTGGTGCATACCTATAAATATAAAATATTTTAGAAAAAATAATATCTATAAAAATTAATTTTTATACCATTTAACTGGAATTTTACTATCTGATTTTTGTACATAAATATCAGTATCGATACATCTTGATAAACCAAAATCACTAAAATAAAAATTAAATTATCAATTAATTCGCTTGTTTTTTTAATTTTCTTTTCTACCTAATTTTTACTTGATCAGTCGATTGTAAAAGTATATTTCTTGCTGCTAAATCTCTATGAACAATTCCTTTACATTCCATATATTCCATTCCATCAGCTATTTGTGATGCCCATAATTTTAATCGATTTTCACTTATAGAAGATTTATGTTTCCATAGATAATCAAGCATTGAACCAAATAATAATAATTCAATAATCATCATCATTTCATTATTATTTGAATCTACAATACCATATAATTTACATATACAATGATGATTTAATTTTGACATATGTTCAGCTTCACGAAGAAAATCTTGTTTAGCTGCATATGAATAATCTTTTAAAACTTTTATTGCTACAGGTATAGTTGTAGAATTTGCTCGATAAAAACCTTCATAAACTTCACCAAATTCACCTTCACCTAAATATTTACAAAATAAATTAGTTATTTATTTATTTTCTTTTTTCACTATATTACCTAATTTTGCTGTTTGATGAATTTGATCTGGTGAAATAAGATTTAATTTCAATGACTTATATTTTTCTATTGTCTTTTTTGGTATTGTAACTGGATAATATTTAATTTTAGTATGAAATTCAGGTATATATGGTTTTATTTTTCCACCTACAATATTACGTCGATCAACAAATAATGTTGAAGTTTTTAAAGAATTTTCATTATGAATTATTGATATTGTTTGTTTTGATGGACTATGACTTGAAAGTGATCCACTAGATGATGAAGTTGATAATGAATTTTCTTGTAATGATGAAGCACGAGAACGTGATGATAATGATGATGATGAATTAAGAGAAGTTGCTGAACTATTCAAGGAAGAAAAGATTGTGGAGCGACGAGTTGGTGGTGATGGTTGAGTATGAATTAGACTTTTTGTTTCATTAACACTAGTTTGACGAGTTAAATTATTTTTTACAACTACTGAAATCTCTAAAAAAAAAATAAAGATATGACGAAATCAACATTTACTCTCAATATTGTTTATCACACAACAAAAAAGATTTCGCGGCCACTCGTCAGAAAAATAGCTCAAAAATTATTGTATCCAATAAGAAATCAATAGAGCCTGAATGCTGTATTTTCAGCTGGAGAGTTTTCGAGCTTTTCTCGTTTTGTATACTGTATAGTTTTACTTGACTAGCTCAATCCGATGAGTTTTCAGTTATAATCATCGAAGTCAGATACAAATGATTTTGGTTGAATCCTGCTGAATGCGCTTTCGAATCGGATTTCGATCTTCTACTCCAACACAACCCAAGCGAGCCGAAGAAGACATGCGAGGGGTGCGCCGAGCTCTCGACCCATCGGAAAATGGCAATCTAAGGGGTTGATTTGAAATTCCGATGGGTCCAGAGCCTGATGGTAGGTACATTGATAGCTAGCAGAAGCACGAGATCGAAACTTTGAAACATCTATGATGGTACAATTTTGAGACACGAGCTATACCCATCTGAATTTCAAATCGACCCCTCGGATTGCCATTTTCCGATGGGTCGAGGGCTCAGCGATGGGTATCTTAGGAGGTATCGACAGTGCAAAATCGAGGCGTCGAAATACCCCTCGAAAGGCCAGTTGGGAACGGTCTGATGTTTGGTCTATCAAAATCATAATTAATGTATTGTCTATCTCGGAAAAACCTCATTTGAATCAAGAGAAATTACAATTATAAACTATCGAATGAACTGAATGAGACATACGGCAAAAAATGTATACAATATTTTTGAAGTAAATCATAAACGTTTTTTTTTCACTTAACTATGATGAGGCTAGTCAAATCAAAAGTTTCGACTTTAATCAATTTTATTCTATGAAAATTTTCTTATGTATTAACTTCTTTTATAAAATTCATATAGGAAATGTTTGAATATTAAGTTTATTAAAAGTTTTCAAAGTCGTTCATTCTTCTCATTTTCTCAATGACAGATATTTTATCAATATAATCAAATGCAAGCAACTAGAAACAATTTACAATATTTTATTTCAATTAATACAAGTTTTTTAATTCAATTCTCTCTAAGAAATATTAAAGAGAAAAAAATCATTTTCGAATTACTACTTGAAACTTCTCATAGAGATTGATTTCACCAAGAAAAAAAATTTACTGTAAAAAACTTCAGATCATTTCATTGTTGCTACCTTAAGATGCGACTATGATAAAAATCTTGTCTATTACACAACTCATATCAAAGAAGAAAAAGCAACAACTCTGTACTTTATCGTACTCTAAAGGTATTTCAAGGTATCTTCAAGGACTTCTTCACTATTTCAAGTCTAGTATCAACAAGCATCAAGAACATTTTATTTTTAGTTTATTTTATAAGTTTTTTTAGCAATAAAGACTTAAATACTTCATCGTGCTTCAATATTTGTGTACTAATGAAGTGCAATGAAGTATGTAGATTTTATTGTCAAATACACTTACCTAAAAATAAAGTCAAAATAACATGCTCATAACACATGTTGATAAAAAGTGTAGAAATTTCGAGATAATAACTTTAACATATCTTTGAAAGTACGCTAAAGTAAAAGATTGTGACTTTGTTCCAATAGACTCCAGAGATGTCCATCGCGGCGCTGCCGCGCCGCTGCCGCGCCGCTGCCGCGATGGCCTGTGGCGGCAGCGGCAGCGGCAGGTTTTTTAAAAAATCACCGCGGCAGCGGCGCGGTAGCGGTAGATTTTTTAAAAATCATCGCGGCAGCGGCGCGGTAGCGGCAGGTTTTTTAAAAGACCATCGCGGCAGCGGCAGGATTTTTTTGGGGAACATTGAAAAACTGCATGAATTTAATAGAATTTCAGGGTTTACAAATGAAACACCCCGAGACTGAATGAATCTGATGGACTAGTACCAATATCTCTGGTCAAATATAGTCGCAGCAATGAAATTAGAAACACTTTTTTGTAAACCGCCGCGGCAGCGGCGCGGCGGCGGCACGTTTATTTTATAATTCATCGCGGCAGCGGCGCGGCAACGTTTTTTTTATAAGCCATCGCGGCGCGGCAGCGCCGCGGCAACATTTTTTTATAAACCGTCGCGGCGCGGCTGCGGTGCGGCAGCTTTTTTTTTTCTAAGGCCGCGGCGCGGCAGCGGCAGATTTTCAGCCGCGATGGACATCTCTGATAGACTCATATAATTAGCGGCGTAACCAGAGTTTTGGGGATGGTAGGGCTCAGCAACGCTTAAATATCTAGTGGTAGGGCTCAGGGTACTGAGGTCTGTGCGATAGTAGGGCTTGTGAAACGATT